TATTGTGATTGTTTGTGTTTCAAGATCAGCAAAGGAATTTGTAGAATTTATCAAAGGTATAATTCTTTATTATAGTTATAATTTATCAAAGTTATAATTCTTTATTTATCAAAAAAGATCCATTGGTGGGAATTCAAATTTGTTTTATTTTTTGTTGTGCTTGATTAAGTAAATTCCCAACATCTGGCTCCTTGTTAAGAAAGAATAAGTTTTAAGTTAGTATTTGTATCAAACGAACTTATACTTACTATGAATGCAATATCTATAGGATAGGGCTACCCAAATGAGGGGCTCTTTAAAATAAATGTAATGACTATTGCTCCTCTTACTATGAATAAAATTAAATTTTCTTTTTACTTACTTGAGTTGTTTAACATTTGACATAACGACTTGGACATGTAAACTTTATTACTTTTCATAGACTAATCAAATTGTATTTATTACTAAAGTATGATTTAGATCCTAATCATAAATACTATATATTTTGTGGAAGCAAAAATGGCTCGTTTATCCTTTTGTTCTGTCAAAAAAGTACTAATGTATGTGATTTAAATCTTGTTCAAATTAAAGGTTGTATAAAGTATTTTATTACTTTTATCGATAATTGCACTCGATATTACTATATGTATTTACTCAAAAGCAAGGATGAGTTAACTGAAATGTTTAAAAACATTTAAGTTAGAGGTTCAGATCAGCTTAACAAAAAGATTAACGTAATAATTAAGAAGTGATAGAGGAAGTTAATATAATTTTATGCTTGAACAATTCTATTTGGAACCTGGAATTATTCATTAAACTACTGCACCTTATTTTCCTCAATTTTAATGGTATTGCTAAACACAATAATCGAACATTAAATGAGATGTGAACATTATGTTAATAACTTTGAGATTACTGTAGAACTTGTGGGCGGAAGCTTTCCTCTCTGTCAATTATATTTTCAATAAATTACAGCATCGCAAAATACATAAGATACCTTATGAGTCATGAAAAAGTCATAAGCCTAACTATAAAATACTTAATGCTATGAGAATGTTTGGCTAAGGTAGTGATTCTTTAAACTAAAAAGGTTAAGATATGACCTAAATCTATTGAATGTGTATTCATTGGTTATGCATACCACAGTAGTGCATACAAATCTATTGAACATAAGTCTGAAATTCCCGATATACATGTTATTACGCTTACCGAATCGAGGGATGCTACATATTTCAAAAATATTTTTTCTTATAACATGCAAAGTGAATTAAATTCAATAAACAGACCTCATGAAAATAAAGTGGTTATAAATCAAGAATCTATAAACGAGGAAGGACATAGACGTACTAAGATGTCTAGGACAACAACCTCCTCTGGACTTGATTTTCCAACATATTTCTTAAAAATTGAATCCCAAAGTCATAAAGAGGATATGTCATCCATCGAAATTTCATATTGGAAAGAAATTGTTCCCAGTGAAATTGAATCCATATTATAAAATTATATATGAGAATTAGTAGACATTCCACCAGATAATAAGCCATTATGGTGTAAATGAATTTTCAAAAAGAAAATGAATGCAGATAAATCAATAGACAAGTACAAAACTAGACTTGTCTCTGAAGGCTATAAGAAGAAAGAAGGTTTTGATTATTCAATACATATTCACATGTAACAAGGATTACTTCCATGCATATGCTTATAGCAATTGCAACGTTGAATGATTTGAATATACATTAAATGATGTTAAAACAACTTTTTTGAATGGTAAATTAGATAAAGAAATTTATATGGAGCAACATTAAGAATTTGTCACCAAGGACAAGAAAAGAAAGTGCATCGACTTGTTAAATAGCTTTAAGGATTATAGCAGGCTCTTAAAAAATAACATGAGAAATTTGACACGATTATAGTGTCAATTAATGGCTTCAAAATTAATAAGTGTGACAAAGGTACATATGCCAATAATAATCAAGATTGATAAGTCATGATATGTTTATACATTGATGACATGCAAATTATGGATAATAATGATACCATAAATCAAATTACTAAAAGGATGTTAACAAGTAAGTTTGAAATTAAGGATTTGTGTGTCGCTGATACTATATTAAGTATTAAAATTTCTAAATTATCCGATGGTCTCATTCTCAATCACACTATATTGAGAAAATTCTTGATAATTAAGTATAAGAAATATGACATTATTTCTATAAAGACATCATGGATGCACTATTAAAGCATATATAAAACTACCAAAAACATCGAATTGCACTATTAAAGATGTCTAGTACTACTCAAAGGATATTGTGGTGCTAATTAGATATCAGATACTAAAGACTCCAAATTTACAAGTGGATATGTTTTCACACTTGGAAGAAGTCTTGTAATATCATAGAAGTTTTCAAAACAAAGATGTATAGTTAGATCAACAATGGAATCCGAAAACATTGCATTAGATTAAGTTGGGATAAAGCCAAATGGTTGCAAAACTTTTTAAAAGATATTCCATATTGGGTAAAACCTGTACTTATTATATGTATCCATTGCGATTGTCAATCGATAATTGAAAGAGTACATAATGTCATGTATAATAGTAAATCTCAACATATACATCGTAGATATAACATCGTTAAACAATTGCTCTCAACTGTATTATCTCTATAGATTATGAAAATTAGAAGAGAACATTATAGATCCGCTAACTAAAGGTTTAAAGAGAGAGCAAGTTGAAAGTGAATTAAATAGGATGTGGTTAAAACCAATATAATGACACAAAGTTTTCATGATGAAACTCAACCTAGTTAACTAGAGATCCCAAGAACTAGGTTCAATAGGACAATGGAACTGTAAAAAAATCAGTACACACTAACTGGGAAAATTTATTTCTCTGACCAATTCCTACGATGAGATAGTGCCTTACTACCCATGAAATTAGGTTAAGTTAAGCTTTTAATGATCTCTATGCAGGTGAGAACAGTCTTTATGGAGATCACTAATGCGGGTAAGAAGGGTCGGTTCTATAATGTGAAGTTGAATTCTCTAGAAGTAATAATAAACCAGGAGGTTCTAAGGCCAAAATGGACAAAAATGAAAACTAATTGTGCTCAAATGGAATTGAGTGACTTCTATTGTTCAGGTTTACACTACTGGCTAATTGTTCAAATTACCTTGCTACTGATTGGCCCAATAAGTTCGATAGTTTTTACTAGAAGTAGTTCATAGTCTCTGGCTGCTTTATCTCGATGCAATTTCTCTTCATTTGTACTCGAAATTTTGCGTCAACTGTTATTTTGGAAAAGCCATCATATTTCATTTTATGTAAGAGATTGTTGTAAATTGTTTAATATTAAGTTGTAAAATAGGTCAACATTGAGCTTTGATTTCAGTGGGACCCGTACTTTGATATTAACAGGATCAAGCATATTCACGTTCTACTCTAAGATGTGATTAACGTGATATATTTATTTATTGAAAAACAATTCAAAATTGAATGAAATATTTGATTTCAAAGTTATCCACTTGAAACTTCAAATAAGTGGAGCATTGATGTAATTGGAAATCGTTGAGCACTTATTCCACTTGGAAAACTTTGAAACTTTTGAGTGGTTCATATATTAGAAGTTTAGCAAATGGATTTGGATCCCAAGGGTTACCACTAGTTTTTGAATGATGAGATACCCATATTCTATTGGGCTCGATCCTAATCCACATGTATGTGTGTCTTCACCGCCGTTCGTCTATTTAGCCTACTCAGGCTCGACTCAACATGACACCTGCTAGGGTTCGAGCTCATATCAAAGTCCCAATCTGATTTGATTCAGTTCGTGAATAGTGCGGGTGGGTCATTGTCTTACATATAACTTTTTAGACGAAATCTATTTTAAAATTTTGGACCAAATTGTTATCAATCAAATTCTACGATATTTTTGAAATTAGTTTTAACGATATTTTAAATTTCTTACCGTTGTCTTATTTTCACATATTTTCTATTGTGATTGTCTAGGTGTGTCTGTTAATCGATGTAACAAACATCTATTAGTCAATGTAACGGACGTTTGTTAATAGACCTTTAATCGACAGAGTATTTCAATCCAAATAGAGCTGTCTATTTGTTTTCGAAAGCTGTCTTAATAGTTACCATTGTTTTGAAAAGGTTTGTAGAGAGTTTGAATGGCCACGAATAAATTTATAAATAACATACTCAGCTGCCAAAACATTTACACCCAAAAAATAAAAATAAAAAATTCTTTAATTTGAATCTCATTTCCTTTATTTTGAAATTGTTCTTCAAAGTATAAAACACTTCATTAAGTTTGTTGGAACTCATTTAAATTGTTGTTTTACTTTCATAAGAAACAAAATTTGTTCTATCCTTGGAGATAATTGCGTAATGCCTTTAAGCACCACAGAAGGGAGAATATTCGTTTTAAGGATACATCGTGAAGTCGGTTGGTTCGAGTTAACATTATGATCCTATTAATCATCCCATTAAACTGTTCAAAATCCATTCAGGTAAACGTTGAAGTATATGAATCTTTAGATTATTCGAAAGAATAAAATTATATGCCAGAAACAACAATCCCTTCAATTCAAACATTACTATATCTACTTTCCATAACTCTTCTACATGCTCTTGTATTTGTTTATTTTTTGGGATGTCTATAATGTTTTTCTTGCCATTTGTTTGTATTCTAGAGAGCAATTGCAAAACGCAACCTCTGATTAAAGAATGGACAAAAATAAGTGACAAAGGAAACCTCATAAAATTTGGATCTAGAAAGTTGTTTGTATTCTTACACAAGTGAAAATATTTTTGATATGGAAAATTGTTATGATTTTATTAATCTTTTTAAATAGTTTATGTATTTTCTATGTTAATTATTTCTTGTTGGAAAGTGCTCTATATTTTCTAAGAATTATGGCACTTAGATTTCTATTTAAGTTGTTTAAGCATATATATTTGTAGTCTTTCATAATATCTATACGTCTCTCCAACAGAAATGAAAAAGAAAAATCAATCCAAAAAATAAAGAATTACTTGCATTTTCACTTTGGAACACTCTTAACGGATTGTGCATTATAGTACAAATTTCAATGTCTTGAATGAAAAGCCTAATAATTCTAAAACAATACATGCATTTTCACTTAATAAATAAGAACAAGGGATCCAAAAGACAAAATAATAATACAAAGGGCGGCAGAGAGAAGTGTAATAGATGGTGCAACTCTCCCGTCATCCTTCCTCAAGAACATCCCTTCAGACAATGGATAATTGATCAATATGCCAAATAATGGGATGAAAAGTTGTATAAAAATCTCGCTCGCTTGCTCAATATGAAAAATCTTCACGACACCAATTATGAAGGCTACTAAATTTAGAATGTATAAGGTGCACAATGGAGCTAATAACAGAACTGATGCCTGAAAATCGTAGATTCCCATTTGATAACGTTTATATTGTTCGTCGTTTACTGCCTTATCTGTCGGCAAAAAACTGGCTTCTCTTAAACCAGTCATCTCCAAAATGCCATATAAAGTTCCATACATGTAACAGGTAAGTGACCATAGCATCCAAATTCTCTGTTCTATAGCCCATGTTCGTATCGAATGTCCAGTCGAAAAGATCTCTTGCATGTGTTTGAGTTGCGATGAGAGGAATAGGAATGAAAACACAATGAAAAATGGGTTCGACACCTTAAAAATGAACGAATCCAGTGTTAGCAAAGTATGGCTAATATAAAATCTTATGATCAGAATCTAAAAGACTATGATAGTACATTTGGTGAGTTGGATTAGATAGTGTTCAACATTATTAAATGAATATATAAGTTAAAAGAGTTGTTTACTGTCGTCTGTCCCGTGTGATAAAAATTGTGCATAATTAACATGCTCTAAAATCCTAAAAGTCTTTTGCGTGTTGCAACAAAGAGTGCTTCAAAACGCACCTTGGGATAGAGATGAATGCCATAAAGCAGACAGAGTTGAGGAACAATGGCTAGACAGTAAATAGGCAAGAAGATTAAGATATCATAGGCAAATTCTGCATAACACATGCTTTGAAGAGTCGACATTCTCAGTGGCCCGTATATAAGAGGAGAAAACCTCGAGAAAGCAACTTCCACCAATCCGGCTACCCATCGTGTGTATTGGACTAAAATCTCATTGAGATTTGTAGTAGCTGAACCCAAGAAACACGGCCTTGCTGGATCCAAATAAACTGAAATCCAGCCATTGCAATGTAAATTGAAGCCAGTAAAGTAGTCTTCCAGCACAGAAAAATATCTGAATCCCACCTGCACATAGTGCATCAACTTTCACGACCTCAATAATAAATACTATGTAATAATCTATTTCATATAACGGGGTGAGAGAGGGAGCGAGGGGGAGTTCTTACCTCTTTCCCCCATTTTGTGTTATTGTCGTAACTACAAGAGGCAAGAATTTTGATTTCTTTCAGCAATACGCCAGAAAAATCTTCATCCTTCAATGCATTCGGTTTGTAATTTAGTTGAAGTGATTTGATGAATTCATTGGAGGGACCAAATGACTTTTGTAGCTGGACAAGATCAACATCTGCATATATAGCGAAAAACAAGAATGTTTTATCGAATAGCTATGCAGATTATGTTTTTCTAAGGGAAAAGAAACACATGGATTTCGATTTGAAGTAAGAATTCTGTGGAAGTACTCATATGAATCATTATACCCTCTTGAATATTGGAAGTTCGATAGAGCGCTTCCCTCTTTATGTAAAAACCGGTGCCGGCTAACGAAGACCCCCTAAGCCCATCCATGCCTTCCAATTTCGGCTGAATGTTGAGGCGAAAGATAAAATTAATGGATTAAATAGGAACAAAATTTACCATAAACACATTGCTGAAAAGTGAAAAGGTTTCAGTATTATACCCATGTAAGTATTATGCCCTAGGTCCAATCGATTTTGGACATAAATACTTTCATATATAATTAATACAATTAAATGGCAGATCTATTATTTAATTAATAGACAATTAAATAAATAATAGAGTCCGTAGATTCAAA